TCTCTGACATCTTTAAATGTCAGCTCTCTCTGGGGCACGAGACCAAGAAAATTGCCCAAGAAGAACGTAAGGACCACAGGCAACCGATACCGCAATCCCCACTTGAACGCTTCGTTCTCGCTCCTTGACCAGCTGGCTACCTAAATACATACACATAGAGCACAGTCTCCCAGATGCGGATAATAGATACGAGTCTTGGGGAAATAAAATGAGAAGGGACAATAAACCAGCGATGCCACCTTTGAGCTGAGTTCAACGCTCCCCCTTTGCCTTTTGTTAAGAACAGCAACAATCCAAACACACGGGGCTGAGAGCGCCACCTGCATCCTGCCTCACCCACACTCCAGTTTTGGGAAGTCGCTCTCAGGATGGCAGTGCTCAAAGAAGAAAAAGCTCCCCACCCGTGCCTGCTCTCAGGAGCTCCCCATGTTTGAGGGACACAGCCACTTGCCAGCATGGGGGTCTTTAGCGGCTCCAGAGAATCTCAGGGGAAAGACCTCATTGTTCGAGAGTGAGGGTCCTGGAGCTTCTGCTCACAACAGGAAGGGACAGAGGCTCCGGCCCAGCATGACTGTGGGGTGGGGGTGGGGGGAGAAGGGTGCCATTCCAAGGCGGCTCAGCCTTCCCACCAAAGGACCTTTCTTTCCAACCAGGGACCTCAAACCACACTTTGATTCCCAAGGAACTTGCTTGGCCTTTGGGGAAAGGCAGGCGGGGACTGAACCAAATCAGCACAGCCCAGGCACACCCACGGGCGCAACTACCTCAGAACAGGATCTGCAACGGCCTCTCCCTCCACCCCAGCCCCTCCCTTGCCCCAAGCCCTACCCAGGCTCTGGCAGGGCAGTTGCTCTCTCTTGGGCAGCAGCTGGGCTGGAGGGAGAGAACAAGATGCAGATGGGAAGGAAGAGAAGTGGGTGAGGGGGCAGAGCTCCGCAGTTTCTCTTCTCCACCCTCCAACCCCCCCTTTCCTTTCCTTTTGAAACGAGCTCAGTTCTGCTGCTCCATTGTGACTGTGCCCCGGAATGTCTATCTTCTGGTTCAACCTGAAACACTGGGGAAGGAGCCAGCAACGACTCCCCGTTGGCAGTTGTTGTGGAGCAGGGAGCAGCTGCACAAGCCGGGCCACTACAGAATTTACCCTGACAACAGACAAGGCCTCCATGAGGCCTGGCACCCGCCTGGATCCCCAGGCACCCCAGATTCTACAGGGTGTTCACGTAAACGAAAACAAACACCACCCCCCGCTCCCCAAAGACAGCTGGGGAGCCAAACCTCCTGAGACGTTCACAGCAAAGCCTGTGCTCAGTGGCTGGATTGAAGAGATGGCCTGATCCACGATGACTGTTCTCCTAGCTCCTCAACCTGGACTTAGCACCACACCACAGTCCCCGCCCTGTTCTCAGCTCTGCTGTCAGTGCGCTAACATTCTCCCCTCCTGCTCCTCTCCTTGGTGGGACATACATAGGCCGCAACACAGTTGCCACCCCAAGTCTTCACAACCACGGTTAGCGGCATCAAATACGTCCACCGTGTTGTCGGACCACCCCCATGTCTGAGTTTTGATAACAAACTCCGTGTCCCCCTGTGGTGGCCGTCTTTGCCTTCAGGTTATGCATTCACTACGTCCCTATTTCTTTTGAATCCCCCACCCCCACCCAGTGTCCCTTCATGTTATTTCCTTTTCTGAAATGTCATCCCAGCTTAGAATGTTCCCTTCACCCCAATTCCTTAATCCACGCCTACCCCCCTCCCCCCAACCAGTGAACTTTTCAGTCTGGCAGAAGGACCCCTGTGTGAAGCTGCGACAGCACCATTTTGGGAGAGACGAGACACCTCGAGACTCAGACTGATGCTACACAGGACGGTGAAGCAGAAGTGTATTTTCACTCCTCGGCCGATCACCTCCACTGCGGTTTTTACAGCCAGATGGGGCTTTCTTCAAGCCAATGATTAAGCCACGTTAACCTTCAAATCAAATTTGAATGGGCCACTCGGAAGGGAAAGCATGCCTTCGGCAGGGTGAGGGGCTGGAGATAGGTAGACTTCATCTTCACCCCAACGATGCCCACATTTCACAGGTTTTAAAATCCTGAGGATCCGATGGGTGTCTCTGGAGGTCAGAATCTGTAACTGGCCTCCCACTCCCTAGGACCCCATTAGGCAGGTAGAGT